CCATCTCTGCTTGGACCTTTACTTTTAGACCCAGTTTTACTCAAGTCCTCCTTCTCAGTCCTTTCTCTCTGGCTTAAAGAGCCTTTAATGGCTTTTTATCACCTTTGGATGTGAGATGTGTGGAATTTTTCCTTTGAAAAATCTATAGGCCTTCAAAAGTTGGCATAGATTCCAGATTAAAAACTTTGGACCATGAGATATAATCTGAACTCTATTATTAGGGCATATCAAGGCTTTTGAGATCTTGCCTCCTGTCTACATTGCCATCATCAGCTCCCTTTAATGCCATCATTTCATTTCATTGCAACCACATTGAATTACAGAATAGTTGAGACTGTGGCCTCTGCCTGGACTGAGATTCTGTCTCTAACCTTATTCTACTAGAAGTGTGTTATTTGACCTCTCTGTATCTTGGTTTGGTCTTCTCTAAAATAGGAATAATAGTAGTATACACCTCATAAGGGTTTTTGAAGATTAAATGAGGTTAATACATATAAATCAATTAATAGTCATATTTGGTACATAATACACACTGAATAAGCATTAGCTATTTTTATTGGCTATATAGTTTTACATGTTTGCACATATTACTCTCTCTGTCCAGGATGCCTGTCCACTTTCCAATCCCTGCTCCCTTTCACTGATTCTAATACATCTTTCAGGATGCCATTCAAGCTTTCCAACCTTGTGAAAATTTCCAAGGTGTCTGACTGTCCTCTTATGCACAGCTGTCTCAGTTGGTGCACTGCACCCAACTTAATGTGTAAGTGACACTAGGCACCCATTTGCACACAGGCTTCATAAGGTTATCAGCTGTTTCCTGTTGTCTGCATAGTCCCTGGCTTTCACCACTACACCTGGCACATGGGTAGGCCTCACTGAACACTTGTTGAATGAATGAAAGAGTGAATGAATTAATGGATATCTTCCCTTCTCGGGAGAGAAAGGCACATGTATCTTGAACATAGGTTCATGAGTCTTGCAATACTTAATGCCAGTCTGGTGCTTGGCATGTGCTCAAAAATGCTGAGTTGATCTGAAATATATTCATCTTTGATGAAATAGGTTTAACTTCAATGAAAAGATAATAATCCTTTGAGAATCCTTTAGACCATAAAAATAAAAGTTAATACTATATGTTTCGTTATTAGAGTTTTCCTTACAAAATGCTTAGAATTTTTGGGACTAAACAAGAAGAACACATCCAAAGTCAGAGAGTTTAAAAGGTTTCCTCTCACGAAGCTTCCACCCTGTGCCTGAGCCCTGCCTCACCACACGATACACAGAACAGCACAAACACAACCTCTCTCCATCTTAGCTGATAGACATTCACCAAAGAACACAAACTTCTCAGTAGGGTAGGAAACAGAAAAAAGAAATGAAAAACAAAAGTGAAGATTCGTTTGGTTCAGTTACTATTTTTAAAAAGCACATGAGGCCAAATCCCTGGAATCTGAAAAACCAAGGATGAAAAGTTCCGTACAAACCAGAATTCTGTTCCTTCAAAGCTTATGCCTTTATGGAAAGTCTACTCTATAAAGGTTAACTTCTAATGGGCATGAGGGGTAGTTAGACAGCACAAATTAACTCCTTAAGTATCATTGCAACTCCACACCAGTCTTTAGGAGTATATACATTAAGGAGCCATTAAAAAAAAAGAAAGAAACTAAATATAACTCAACAATCCTGATAGTTTATAATGCATATACAATTGGTTCACCTGCATCCTTTTGATTCTCTATTTGAAAGAGAGAGCACAATGAGGAGAGAAGAGAGAGAGAGAAACAAGAACACATATGCAGGATTAATGAGTAAGTGGACCAAAATGCCCCCCACTTATGTGTGATACATGACATTGGAAGAAAAGGTCACCCTTGGGTTCCCACCGCCCCAAAGTGTGGGGGCCAGCAAAAAAAGGCTCCTTCACAGAGGTGAAAAATGCTGCACAAATAGAAAATTAGTAAAATTAAGTTTAATGTGAAATCAAGCTATGAAACATACATGAACTCTCCAAGTGACAATTAAGTCATGTGTTCTAGCCAAAGCTTAGAGGACAAGGACAAGTCAAAATCTCCAGAAAGAACAAGAAAAAGCTTTCCAGCTTGAGAGAAAAGGGACAGGAGGCATGTAAGATCTAATTTTTACAGAGAATAGACCACCTCATGTGATCTTATACCCACAATAGTTTCACATCTTAAACATGGAAAAGAAGGCATGATTTTGCCCCAGCTGTCCTTTATCTGACACCTAACATATTGTTCCCGGCCTAGATGCTACCTTTTTATTGTGTACCAGTGACAAGCACTTTACAAATTGGCATTACACACAAGCAAAGTAAAAATGCATTCAGGTCACAGACAGAGAATAACTGAAAAACTTACAGACAAATCTGAGTTTATCACAAACAAATGGCTTAATTGTCTAACCTGTTTTAGGCTGATAAAATGTGACTGGACTTCTCACACTGGATTTCACAGACAGAATCAACAGACAAGCCAATGCTAAACAACTTGAAGCAAGGAGAGTGAGTTGATTGGATCTGTATTTTCTTGAAATAATGAAAACAGAAAGAGTGAAGACAGCATGGCGAGGAGTGGTAGGTACTCACGAATGGTTAAATCCATCACTTGGGAGGCCAAGCAGAAGACAGGATGCTCATACATTTCTCTCTTTTTCCCTATAAAAGAGGATTTGGGCATGCAAGAGGCTTAGGTCAGAGGTAAAGAGGTTAAAGGTCATAGGTTAGAGGAAAACGTTACATTAGCTCAAAGGAAAATAGCCACAGAGTATTTTGGGATAAAAACAGGATAAAGGAAAAAGGAGTTTCAAAATCGGAGATCTACTGGATTAACCATTCAGCATGCCGTGAGTCACGAGAGAGATTGTGACCATGATTTTACACGTCTCTTTAGAATTATTTGCAAGAATACAATGGCCAAAAACATCATGAGTAAAGGGAAACAGAATTTCATTGATTTAAGGCTCCAAGATACTAAGGATTTCAGACTTTAGTATCTAAGGCTCTTGAGGTATTTCTTCATAAACATAGTCTCCAGCAATATTACCACAACTTCTTTCCAAAATTCTCTGGAAACTAAGCTGTCAGTTCTCACAGAGGGGCTCAAATATAAAAATGGACAGTTTATTTTCTGAGTGTAGGGTTGGAACCTTGTAAAAGAAAGTTGCATGGTAGTAATATCTTTATAGCTGCAATGTCTCAGCCTATGGTGGACTATGTTCATGAAAGAAAACCTGATACATGCAGCCAGAGGATGTTGGGTTGTCTGAATTAACAATCCCAGCATGCTTTGAAATTGGTGTCACAGCCACTTTTGCAGAGATAATGTCAAAAAATGGCTGAGCCAATCGTGAACAAGGAAGGAGAGAAGCAAAGAGAGCAGTAGTGTGGAATGAGGTACTTCTCTGAAAAGAGAGTTGGAAAAAAAAGATTGGTTCTTCAAAGAATCCCCAGACCTAAAAGTCACAGTGCAAAAGATAATTAACACAACCAAGAAGAATTGAGGCACAAAAGGAAATTACAGACCAGCTGATCTACTTTGGAAATGAATGCATTTTTACTTACAGATCTTAAAGTTTATTTTTGGATACATTTATCTGAAAGAAGAGAGCAGATCTTACCAAGACTAGTAATAGTTAGACCAAGACCTAGGAGGCAGCAGCCGTGGCAACCGAACATTTCTTGATTCCATCCCATCTCTGGCCTCAGCTAGAATTATTAGGTGCCCGGTTGGCATTACCAAATACAACCAATCATTGTGTCCTGGGAAGGTAAATGCTGGAACAATTATTTTCTAATATAGCTCTTTTAACAATCTTCTTGTTCCTCTATTTTTGTCACTATTACCAAGTCAAGAGTTGATAAACATCCTTTTAGTGCCCAATTCTTAGGTGTTTCTCCCTGGATGCATAACAACGAATTCATTACCACTGGTACACAATTTGCATTGTCAGACAGACAAAATTGAGAGAGGGAGACATGTAATGTACAGAACACTGTGAATTTGACATGATCTTAGCCTAATTCTCTAGGGAAATAAGGACTTTGGCAGGATAACTGATGGGTTTTGGTGGTTGATTAGGTCTTTTTCTTTTTTCCCAGTCATGTCCTAAAAGCAAACAATGGGAATTTGCTGGCATTTCACATGTGAGAGAACATCAGATTCCAGAATGCGAACACATTGAGGTTTGCACACAGAACTTCCACATTTATACACTTACACCACTGGTCAAGTTGGGTGTGGTTTTCAAATCACCCTATAGCAGCCAACAGGGTAACAATGAAAAGTGATTAATAAACTGCAATGAATAGGTTCCAAAGAACCATACCTTTTCAAGTAGCATTTACTCAAGGTGACTTTTGGGAATTACTTGGTCATCAGTGACTGCTTCCCTAAAACTTGAGTTGGCAGTGGTGACAACCATCCTAGGTCGAATGTAGCCATAACAAATGAGACCAAAGCAAACCAGGAGCCACAGAGAGGCTGGACATTAATTTGCCATCAAGTTTGAAATGCTACCAAAGATAGCTCTTCATAAGTTCAAGGGACAAGAAAGAGTTCAGCAAAATCTTGATGTTGCTTTATTCAATTGTTGTTTTACTTGCAGTGCCATCAATAGTGGACAACAAACTTTGTTTTCCTCTATTTAAAGCAGGTAGTAATCCCGCAAAACTCTTTCATTGGAAGACATCAGCCACTTAGGGCTGACACAGACTCTCCGAGGGACCTCAGTTATCGGATAACATCCCATGTTTAATATTCTTCCCCTAAGAAGACTGGTTTTTGAGCATCTTATCTTTCATTGATTTATTTAGCCACATCCAAGGAAGAGTTCACATTTTCATATTTTGAGTGCGTTCAAGTTTCAGCTTAACATACTCAGATGGACCCCTTTTTCCTGTGCCCATCAGAAAAGAGAGATTTCCCCAGGGAGACATACGAAGTTTTAAATGAAAACCTGGGGGCAGAAGGGAGTCTTACCTTCAATTTTGGCATATTCTGATAGCCGGGAATAGTTGACTAAAGCAGCCTGCTCTAGACATTTACGGATGACTGTTTTTACCTCCTCTTGTGGCACTGGGGTAACAATATCTTTCATCAAAACCTTCAGGTGGGAAAAAAAGGTTATTCAGATGGTTTAATTAAATGCGTTACTCGTTTGTATTTTTAGAGGGTTCAGATGTATGGTTAGAATGGCAAAACCTGTCCATGAACCAGGGAAGGATTAAGAACATATCTTCAATAGATCCAAGTATTTGTTGACTGGAGACGAAACACCTAGATTATGGGCAGTTTTTTCATGCTTATTTTGATATTTGATGAATGGTTAACAATACCTCGAAAATTATAGTCTAGGTCATTCAACCACAATATTCCATTACAATGTTGTTCATGTTTCTGTAGATGTGGAATCTGTCTTTGACTTTCATTCTTACCCTTTCCAGAAGTGAGAGAGTAGCTTTCAAAGCACCTTCAGGCCGACCAAATGGGAAGCAGTACCTAAAAAAGAGAAAATTCTTCAGGTTGCCCAATTTATTATACTTCAGCATGAAATATACTGAAATTTGAATCCTATGGAAATTCTTTGAGGAACAGAAAGTGCTTTCTATTTTGTCACGCTGTGTTATGTTAATCTGAATTCACACTATTTATGTGTGTATGTAATATATATGTGTACGTGTGAATGATGACTGAAGACTCTTGCAGACGTCTGCAGCACAAAAGAATACTCAGGGTGATGACAAGGCTCTGTGGTAGATTTCCATTGTGAAGAGAACCATTTGTTAGCTCAACGGAGACCTTAAATACTATCATAGAGACCAACATTACAAAAATATTAGCTGAAAGAGGATAAGGTTAATCCCTAAAGGATTCATATGGAAAATGAAGGAAGGTCTTTTGAGCAAATTCATGATTCTGCAAATTGTCCTTGCTTGCTTGTGTTTTTTAATTGTTAGAAAATTTTTCATTATTGGCAATGCATTTTGCATTCACTATATGATCAATAAGGCAGGGGGTGAGGGAGTCTGCGGTAAATAACAGTAGGAATTCCATTGACTGTTTTAGGTTGACACCTATGATACAAAGGGACCAGTTCCTTATGATACAAAGGGACCAGCAGGGCTACTTTCACTCAGATAGGCCTGGGGCAAGTCTTGAACCTCTCTCAGCCTCAGTTTACTTGTTGTTTAAATAGGGACTACAATAACTTCCTTAAAAAAATTAAGGGCATAAAAAATATTGAGATGCTTATCCAGCCCCTGTATCTGCAAGGGCCTGATTTATGCCATTATAAATGTGCTTCTGATTTTAGAGTTACTAGTTCAGGCTTCAGGCCCGGAATCACAAGTGCAGCATTAGAAATGACTGATTTGTCCCAAGGAGCAGTGGGCCACGTGGCTCAAGACAGCCGCTGCCGCTGGCTCCGGCGTGTGGAGAAGAGCCAGCCTGCAGGCCCATCAGCTTCCCTTCCCGGAGCAGCAGCTCGTCCTGTCTCTGAGGGGAAGGTGGCTCCTCCCGTGGGTACCACTGCCTTTCTCCCCTGATCACATGATGTGGTTCATAAGATCTTTCAGTGCCTTCTTTAGGAAACCTGAAGAGGCTTCAAATACAACTTTTTAATAGGATAAACAAAAAATAGGTTGATGACATGTACAAGGAGGGGCTGTTCCTTTGGTGGAAATAAAATGACCTTACGATTTCAAAGTCTCTGAGCTATTGTGGAACCCAGTTTAACTGGTTTGCTCTTTCATTCGGTTATGTCTAAATGTCCAATGTGTATCTGATTGACTTACAGTTTCAGAAAATCAAGTCCTCCTTGACCCTCCCTCTAAGGACCCCCTCTATCCCAGATCCTTACCTGAAATGTGTAATCTGATTTTCCAACAGAACTCTGAGTCTCTCTTTGATTTCTTCAAAACGCTCCTTTTCTTCCACAGTCACAGTTCCGATCCCATCGGGCCTGAAGGAAGACATGGCATGAAGTGACAGGAACCTCGTGTGCGGACACCATCAAATCCAATCTCTAGCAGGAGGAAACTGTCTCTTTCAGAAGAACAATGGCAATGACAGCTGTAACCTTAGGAAAAGTCCTGCTTCTCAGAGCCGGTTACTAAAGGGGGTGGGGTGTTTTGGGGTTATCATTTGGAGACATTTGCAAAATTGTCGCTCATTTATTGTGAAATGGTAAAATGTACAAACTAGTGGCTTGGAGGTTCAGCTTTTAGGTCTGTGTGTCTCACAGTTTCTTAAAAATTTTAACTGCTTGCCAACATTTTTTAAATTAGGAAAGTTCTATAATTCTCTTGACAATTTGGAACAAATGGCATTAGAAAACAACAAAAACAAAATAAAACTCCAAAACAAAACCCAAACCATTTGATTAAAAATTGGGCAGAGAACTTGAATAGATGTTTTTCCAAAGAAGACATACAAATGACTAACAGGTAGGTGAGAAGATGCTCAATATCATTAGTCATCAGGGAAATGCAAATCCGAATCTTGTACCTGTTAGAGTGTCTACTATCAAAGGTCAAGTACACCGAGTGTTGGTGAGACTATGGAGGAGAGGGAACGCCTGTGCACTGCTGATGGGAATGTCATTAGGTGCAGCCACTGTGGAAAACAGGATAGAGGAACCTCAGAAAATTAAAAATAGAATTACCAAATGATGCAACAACCCTACTTCTGGGTATAACTGAAGGAAAGGAAATCACAATTTTGAAAATATATCTGCACCCCCATGTTCATAGTAGCATTATTGACAATAGCCAGGATGTGGAAATAATCCAAGTGCCCACTGACAAATAAATGGATCTATATTTCACATATATTTTCATATATATTTCTATACATATAACATATGAAACACATAAAATATATATTTTTATGTTTCATATGTTATATATATCGTTATAATAAGTATATTAAATATATATACATATATATGTAACAAAGGATAAAGGAAATGTAAGCTATTATATGTGATGAAATATTCAGTCATAAAAAATAAGAAAATCCTGCTTTTTGCAACAATATGAATGGACCTTGAGGGCATGATGCTAAGTGAAGTGTCAGTCAAATAAAGACAAATACTATATATTCTCACATATGGAATCAAAAAAGTCTAACTCATAGAAATAGAGAGTGGAATGGTAGTTGCTGGGGCCTGAGGGGTGGGGGAAATGAGGAGGTGTTGACCAAACAAACACTACAAACTTCTAGCTAAACACAACAGGGGACTCCAGTGAATAATCTATAATAATTTATAATAATAAAAACATAATATGCTAATTAGGCCAGACAGCCTTCCAGACATCCTTCCAGATGAATCTGGGGCTGTGAGGGAAGCCCAGGTCCCTGGTCCCAGTTGCTTGCCAGCAGCCAGAGGGAAGCCTGGATCCTGGGTGACAGAGGAAAGCCAGTGCCAGCAGCTGGGGGAAGGAAGGCCTACTCTTGCACAAATTTCATACATTGGGCCTCTAGTCTATAAGAATCTACAATAATAAAAGCATAATATGCAAATTGACCGAATGGCTGAACAACAGAAAGATTGTCTGTATGACCTTCCAGACTACCTTCAGGGTGAAGCTGGGGCTGCGAGGGCCTACTCTTGCACAAATTTCGTGCATCAGGCCTCTAGTAGTTATTATATACTTAAAAGCTGATAAAAGAGAAGATACTCAATGTTCTCATCACACACAAAACAATGGTAATTACGTAAGGAGATGTAGGTATTGACTAACCTTACTGTGATAATCATTTTACAATATATCTGTGTATCAAATTATAGCATCGTATACCTTAAACTTACATATATTTGTCAATACCTTAATAAAGCTAAAAAAAAAAGCCACATATGATGTTTTTCAATCTTAGCAATCTATTGCTCATTTTAATACCACAAACCTTAGCACAAATAAGTGAACTTCAGTTTAATCATGGTATTCCTGTGTTTCTAACTCAGCATTAGGTCCACACACATTTCCCCTGTTCGGTTTGGACCATTTAAGTTGGAAATACAAAGGGACACTGCATATCTATAGCTCAAATTTATCTGTGCCAAATTAGACGGAGGACAATCTGACCCATTCAAAGACTTCAGCTTCCCGGATCCGTAGTGACTTGTTTTGACTGCTGCCTGAGCCAGTCTGCAGGCTGGTGTGTCACCATGAAACTTCTATTGGAACATTCCTCAGTTTGCAAATGCAAGTCATCTTGAGACCAAACAAATGGTCTTATTTATAGGCCTTCTCAAGGATCCAGCATAAGTTTGGAAAATTCTGTACACTAGACCAGTCTGACTACACAAAAGACTTGGCAAATGATAGCAATGCACCTCCTGTTAGGGGTAGATCGGTCAGTTTCCTTCTTTGAAAATACTGAAAATGTCCCACTGGAAACAAATGAGAACCCTCTGCCGCCCCCCTCCCCCCCGCCCCCACACACACTTTATAAAAACACTGCTAGATGGTAAAATCCTGTTAGGTTCCACTTTTTCATACTCCTTTGAACTTAAGGGAAGAGGGAAGAAAAAAGGCAAATGGTAAATATTGGGTAAGCTGTGGTAATCCATGAATGTGCCCTTATTTTCAAATTTTCTGGAGAAATATCAAAAAGTTATTAAAAATCTGTAGTTAAATCTCAGAATGAATTCATTGGCCCTCACAAAATACATGTGACACTTTCTGTGCTAACGTCTCATGTTTAATCTATAACTTCTTTTAGTTGTAGCTTTTGGAATTTGTTTACACAAAATTCTGCTAACACACCAAACACACGTTTATACAATTGGCATGTGTGTGCATATACTCGATTTAGAAAAAAATAAGCCATTTTAAGATTTTGTTTTTTAGCAGGGAATTAACCCAGAAAAAATGCTATTAAATATAATTTACAAGTCACAGAGGGGTTTTGACATGGAGGAATTCATACACTGTCTCCTCCCCCCCCCCCCGCCCCCTGCGGGGGCCATTGGGGATGGGCTGGCTGGGGTGAGGGGTCAGCTGCAGTGAGTGGTTGTGGGTAGTTAGCTGGCCCAGCCCCAATCAGATTAGGGTGGGGGTGCCCACTAATGGGTGGGGCCAGCCCTGGTGAGGGACCACAGACATTTCTGTCATTCCACTGTTCAGTCAATTTGCATATTACCCTTTTATTATATAGATGGGCAGCCCAGAAATGCCTGCGGTCATTATTAGGAGATAAACTTCTCAGAATAAAAATCATTCATTCCTTACCTAACAAGTCTTCTATGGCTATCTTAGGCAATTAGGAGGGAACTCTTAGGTGTGTGTTTGAATTGACAAAAACTAAACATTTCATGCATACCTGGCCTTCCCAGTTAATTCTCACTGCGAAGGGCATTATTACGATGTAAAATTTGATTATGATTTTCCCTTTTGTTCTGATGACTCACATTTGTAATGACTAAAGGTGTCAGTTAGCACCTCCCACTTCCATGATAATCTCTTCTTTCTGAACTGTTATCTCACAAATCAGAAAAAGCAAACAACTAAAATGTATTGTAATCTATTCTTAAATTCGCTTAACTGTCTATGTCCATATGAATACTTTTATTTTAAAATAAATGAAACTAACTCAACATCTGTAAGGCATGTAGTGCAGACACACACACACACACACACACACACACACACACACACCACAAAACCAAAAGCCCAGGTGATAAAAAATAAATAAATAAAGATTTTTGACAACAAATGTAAATCTGTTTGCAATTGCCAGAACTGCTCTGAAATGGTAGTGGTAAGGATGTTATTTACAAAAGGAAGAGACATGAGGGGATAATAGAATCTGTTAAAGATCACAGGTGGTAACCATGTCAGTTAAAGAGCAAAAATATCCTTTTTTAAAAACAAAATTCTTTTTGAACATTCTATCAATCGTCAACTTATTTTTCATGGCCTATGTTGATTGTACAGGTTTAGAAAGATTTTTGCAGAGCTACTAATTGAGAAGTCCTGTTCAATATTTTGGGGAGCGCTTCTCACAGAAGAAATGAAACCCCTTCCCTAGGGGAGTGCCTCAGAATTACCTGGACGGCTTTGCCATGACTGCATGGCTGGGCCCCATGAGTTTCTGGTTCCGTGAATTTGGCGTGGGGTCTGAGAATTTGCATTTCTAACAAGTTCTCTGGCCATGATGGTTTGGGACCCGCACTGAGACCCTCTGCCATAGAGCTGGGGGATATTTTTGGCTGGCTCTTCCTGTAGCTGAGAGGTAATCTGATCCAGAGTTCCCAAGTTCCCTTGGGTTTGAGTGAATTAAAAACAAGAGATGAAGATAAATACACACACACACACACACATAGCATTTAAATATCTAATAGGTAAATAAAAATAAAAGCAGAGATCTCCTCTGAGAGCCTGTCCACTGGGGAAGCTAGCAACTCCTTCCAAAAGTGCTGTTTGTGCTGCTTCCAAGGTATTCCCAGCGGTGCTGAGGGAGAAGTGAATAGAAGAATTTACCAGCTCAGAAGCCATACTGAGGTGGTGTTTTTTTTTTTCCTAGAAACATTTAGGGGTGATTCTACCATTGCCATAAAATTGGTTCCTTTCTCAATACTTTTAACACTTAGGCTGTCACACAGAATGGGAGAGGAGGAGAGGCAGAGTGGGTTTTAAACTCTTAGCCAGTAAATCCCAGCTAAGATGTGTCTACTCAGCACACATGGGTAGGCCTGAATACCCCAGTCCTCTTGCTGGTGTATTTTCTGCCTCTTTTTTTTGTGGCTCAGTGCCCATTGCCATTTCCTAAAAGCACCCGATTTCCTCTGGAGGAATGACCTTGGCAGCACTCTGAGACTGTGGGGAAGGATACACCGAGGTGCCTATTCCCCTGCCGTTGATGCTGAAGACCTTCCCATGGGCCAGTTCTTCCCTCTCATGGTCACTGTCCACTGTCCCGTGAGCTAAACTCAGCCCACGGACGGAAGAGAAGACA